CCGTTAAAAAAAACAACCAAAGAGGTAATAACAAATAAAAAATAAAAAAACCACGACACGCGCATGCGAGCTTGCATACACACATATATAATTATAAATATACACAGACACACAGACCCACACATATGTGGGTACTTGTATTTATGTAGGACTTAATGAAAACAATTTGTCTTTCCAGCTCCAGCAACCCGCAAAAGATAGGTAAACCATGCCCCCGATATGCTCCTCTAGCCAACTGAGAAACTACTTACAGAAAAAGCTTCAGAATAGCCACCTTTGGCTTAAACTAGTTACTATTTGTTTCTGCATTGCAGTAGCATAATAGTTGGTTAAAGTTCTTAGATGAACGTATATAGTCGTAAGCACTTCAAATTAGGTTTAGCCAAATAGTAAAGGTTCTGCTCCCGCTTTTTCGGATTATATTTTATTAATGAGGGTTTATCAATAAATATGAGTCAATTAGAAGGGCAATATACTATTGTCCACCTAATAGGTCTTCAAAATGACATCACGGATGAACAATTTGTTAATATCTCATAATTTGTTTTTGCTATTGTGAAGGCTATGATACTTGGGGGCAGTGACAACATAACAAATTCTATGGTACTCACCCTAGCAGCCCTACTGGATAATACACATGTATTAAAAAAAGTCCAAGAGGAATTGGATGCAGTGGTTGGAAAGAACCGGGTTGTCGAGGAATCAGACATAAAGAACCTAGTGTACCTTCAGGCTGTCATCAAGGAAGCATTTCGATTGTATCCGCCAAGCACACTACTTGTGCCACATGAGGCTATAGAAGAATGCCAAATCCAGGGCTATCATGTCCCAGTGGGAACCCAGGTACTTGTGAACCTCTGGAAGCTGCAAAGAGACCCAAATGCATGGTCTGAGCCAGATGAGTTCAAGCCAGAAAGGTTTTTGTCAAGGAGCTCAATCGATGTGAGGGGCCAACATTTTGAGCTAATTCCATTTGGTTCGGGAAGGAGGGCATGCCCGGGTATATCATTTTCATTGCAAGTGGTGTACCTTACACTTGCTCGTTTGATTCAAGGGTTTGAATTGCAAGCGACAGGTAATGCCCCCGGTGAACGTTATCTAGCCTCAGATATTCCCAGTCTCTCCACACTCAAAATCATGCTCGCCCCACGAGTCTCTCCAGGTCTCTTCATATGATGATGATCATTAAGTCTGTATAACATGCTGGTAATGGCAATAAAGTTGGCTAATAAATATTGATATGTTTTTTTTTTCCCTTGGGCTACTTTTATAATCTGCACTTCTTTCTCATTATAAAATGACCACAAGCATGATGCACATAAAACTTTTCAAAAGAGACTTACTAGTAGCAACAGTTGGACTAATTAAGAGGAGTAATCTAAAATTAGCAGTCATAGCCTTGTAGGATTTTATTTAGCTAATCTGGTTGTAGTGTTTTAGAGTCATCTTGTATACAAAACAGATTTGAAGTTTGTAAACAAGTTCAAAGGAGTAAAACTATTTTCTGCACTAGTTATAGTTTTAGCCTTTGGATACTTTTACAGTTTTACTAACCTACCTAGAATAGTGATTTATATAAAGAATAACATGTATTGTATGTCATATGAGGGGGATTCTCTCATATACAAATGTAGTTAAATCTTAGCAAGTTAAACCTTAGGCAAGTGATGAGGGATGAGTTAAAAGTAGTAGAGAAAGAACAGTCTTTTTATACTTGGCTGAGATTCAACCGCATTACTTTATAGGAGAGAATCCCCTCACATGTCAAGATACTCATTATTGTCATAATGTATATAACAATATTAATTCTTTTAAATTATAATTTCGATTTGATAAGTTCTCACATACAGAAGTTCTGAAGAACTTATCATATAAGAGACAAATTCTCGGAAGACATGATAGTGGAAAAAAAAGTGCTACGTTTTTAATGGTTTGGTTTTTACTCATATAATACTGAATCTATCATATTCGTAAACCTAACTTCAAGTCTAGTTGTTTGCTAGTTTACCCCATTCTCTGAGATTCAATTAACCATTAAGAACAAGGAACAAAAAGTTTTTTTTTAATTCCTGAAAATGTGGTTTCCATAACCATGCACTTCGCTTGAATTGTTCAATTCTTAAAAACTTTTTTCCTTTTTAACATACATTAAATCAAAAGAAAAAGAGCAGAGAAAGTCAATGATGTGAACCACAAATCTTGTTTCTGAATCATTTCAATAGATTCATATCATTTCAGATAAATGTGGCTATATTTAATTGAAATACTTCTTTTTTTCACTTCTCTTGGCTGCTATATGCTTACTACTTCCAGCATTTGTCAACTGCTTCATTAGGATATTTCCGGACTGACGAAAAACAAAACAAAGCTTTCATGGACATTTTAATATAATTAAACATGGGAGGAAACAACCAATATCATCCAGATCTGTGTGATGTCACAAACAAAGAACATGTTAGTTCTGTTATTCAAGCAATCAGAAATTGCAATCTTTGCATTTTTCTGTATTTTTCATACTGCAAGCAGGAAAACTGCAAAAGACTTGGATAGGACAGGTGGCAATTGTTCATCAATTTTTTAATCACCATGCAAATTTCCTGGATAATAAGATAATAATGCACAAGAGTTGACCGGTGAACGGATCCAATGGGCAGAATCATACTTTCTTTTTTTTAAAGGAAAGGATAACTTAGAAAACTTTCAAAATTAAATTAGTAGAATTCATATGCTTCTGCCTGTGAAAACACCTTCTTCAAAGGCAGTAAAACTTTGTATTTAGCTTAAATAACACGCAAGTTTGCATGAATTATTTTTGGATGACAGTCTGTATGCCCGTGAAATGACAACCATGGTTGAAACAATATGCGGAGAAAATATGCAGAGAAATGCTTGCTTATTGTTACCGAACTGTGAGACAAATTAAGAACGTACAATACTCAACGGTCAAATAGCAAATAATTACTCAAAAAAATATATGACAAAGAAATAAAAAGTGAATGAATAAAGCACTCCACCCACCAGAACACAGTGAAATTCCATCTTGAGGAGGTCTGTTGGTGACTGCCTAGGTCAACAAAGAACCGTCCATAATTCAATCTTCTTTCGTCTTATCCCTTTGTTTTTTCAGTATTGCTCATGCCTGTATGTCAATTTAAAAACCAGAGACTTCATCACTAAAACACAAATGACTCATTTAATTAGCTCAGCTGATATTTACTTTCCTAATAAAAAAGTACCCAAATTGGATTGGGTGCAAGATTTGGCATTGACCATTTAAGGTTGCTTGTCCCCCACTGTACCAAAAAAAAAGCTTATTATATCCATTTCTGGATAATTTAAAAACCCACCCTGTCAATTTGTTTGATAAGGATCACTGAAACACTATCCAACGAAAAAGAGCAATTGAAAAGAACACCATCAAGAATAAAATATGCAATCCCTGTGTCAAAACAAACAAAGCCTTGTTTTGTTCACTTCTCAACAACAACAGAGCCACATTATGCGCTCAGTAACGCGTCTTCAGTAGACTTATTCAAAAGCTTTTCCTAACCTGTGGACAAAAATTAAATCATGAGATAAACTTTTGGCCACCAGTGGTTGAGAAGAGTTAAGCAACCATGTTGTCTTAGCTACTATGAAGTATGAACTTATAAGTAAGAGCACTTCTACAACTAAGTCCACAAACCTACAAGAAACAAATGGGTTTCCTTCTTCAGCTACAATATGTTTGTGGTTCTGTTTTCTTGGTTTTCTTCTGCAACCTATGGATTGGGAGGCTTCTAAGGAAGAAAAGTAGCATGAAACAGTACACGGAGGCTCCTCAGCCATCGGGGGCCTTGCCCGTAATCGGCCATCTTCATCTCCTCAAAGGGCCAAAGCCTCTTGCTCAGGTACTAGGAGACATGGCAGATAAGTGTGGTCCAGTTTTCATGCTGCGATTAGGCCAGCGACGGATGCTTGTTGTCAACAATGAGGAAGGAGCAAGGGATTGTTTATCTACCAATGATAAGGCTCTTGCTTCTCGTCCTGCTTATGCAGCCGGAAGGCATATGGGCTATGACAACGCTGTGTTAGGTTTTGCACCTTACGGCCCGTATTGGCGCTTGATGCGCAAGATATCCACTATTGAGCTCCTCTCAAACACTCGTCTTGAGATGCTCAAGCATGTTCGATCGATGGAAGTTGATATGTTCATGAAGGAACTGCATGGGATGTGGGTAAAGAACAAGCAAAGACCAATTAAGGTTGACATGAAACAATTACTAGGGGATCTAGCTTACAATATAATTGTCAATATGGTGGCTGGGAAGAGATATTTTGGCTCTACCGTCTACGCCTCTGATGAAGCATTGAGATTTAGAAGGGCAGTTACTCAGTTCTTCAAGCTATTAACCGCTTTTGTTCCATCAGACATGTTTCCTTTTCTGAAATGGGTTTATGTGAATGGGAATGAAACTGCAATGAGATCTGCTGCGCAGGACATGGATTCACTTATGAGTAACTTGATTGAGGAGCATCGGCAAAGGAGGACTTCTCAAAAGGCTAATGATGACTGTGACTTTATAGATGTGATGTTATCGACAATGGAAGATGTCCAGCATCCGGAAATGGATCCAGATAAAGCTATCAAAGCCACCTCCCTGGTATGTGTAATGCCCCCTGCTGTCATTTAAATTTTGTTGTGTTTTGGACATCTATAGGACACTTCTTTTGCTGGGACACCTATTTAAGTTGTTCTATACTTGGGTTGGAAAATGAGCTTAGTTTAAGACTTTGTAAAACCCCTTGCTAAATACTGGGAGGTAAAATTCAGGTAGCAAGCAGTGAATGGTGATCAGTGCTATTGACATTTCAAATTGAAGCCTAGTTAGAAAGCACAAAATGAGAACAAAAAAATTGAAACCACCTATCGAAATACTACATGCTACTTAAGAATCCATAGAGGTTTATTACAAGGATATTTCAGAACTGGACTTTCTCCATTTTTACTCAACGATTATGATTAATCAAGGAGCAAAGGGTTTGGTTCAAACTATTCTGTTTAATTGAAGAAAACCTTTTTTTTCCACTCGATGCGTATTATTTCCTTTTTATATCTACTTATGTTTTTCTGTCCGTTAGGCGTAGTATGTGAAAGAAAGAACAGTAAGGCCATATGCTTGAAGCTGAATATTACTATACGAAAAAGAGTCTGAAATGGCAGGAATCACTAAAAAACGTGGTGCAAAAAGCAGAAGTAAATGGATAATTACATTTGAAGGAAATTTTCCAATTTTTCATGGGAACAAGGTATGCCGTCGAGCCATTGAAAGAAAAAACTGAATCAAAAAACTTTATTTTTCCTGATAAACATAAATATATAGTACTAGTAGGTAGTAAGATTTTGTTGCAATGCTATTTCTGGATATGTTTTCCAAATGCCACAGAAGCAGAAGTACCAATCTGCCAATATATGTTTTTGCGGCATGTTTCCACCACAATTATTAGTTTTTCATGCATAGAGATCCTAAGAACCAGACTAATTTTACTCCTAATATTACTACTGATCCTTCAACTATGACTAATTATCCTATTCTGTTTATGAAGTGAACTTTGTTCACCAGTTTGTTTTACCTCTATAATTCGACTGACAATATATTTATACTGCTGCACCAACAATTCCAACTACTTTAATCCTCATTATGATCTATGTTACCTACAATTCCAAGAACTTTCATCCTCTTGCACGCACCATGTGCTCTAATTCCTTAAAAAATAGGTATCTATATATAATCCATAGTAATTTTTTGGGAAAATTTGGAAAAACGACCGTTTTTTAAAAATAATAGGCAAAATCGACCGTTTAACAAAATAATTAGCAAAATCGACCTTTTTTTGCACGGGACTACTAGTCCCGTGCAAAAAAAGGTCGATTTTGCTAAAATCCCCTATTTTGCACGGGACTACTAGTCCCGTGCAAAAAAATCCCCAACTCTCGCGATCGTTTCCTCCATCTTCTACTCCCTCTCCGCCCCTCATCCAAATCCCTCCCCCCTCCTCCATCATCAAATCAACAGCCCCTCCTCCATCCAAATCCCTCCGTCCCATCCTCCAAACCCGATCCTCCGTCGCCTCCGATCATACCCAATTTTTCTATTTAATCCCCTCCATCTCACTCTCTTCTCCATCTCTCAGTTCACCCACTCTCTCTCCCTCTTCAAGAAACCCAAGAGCCCCACTACCTCCACCCTCAGACCCAAGCTCAACCACCGGCCCTCCTCCTTCCTCAAGCCCCTACTCCACCTCCCTGAGCTCGCTGTCAAGCTCCCCTTGCCCCTTACAACAATTACTTCATTTCAGCTCCGACACAGAGGGGGATTAAATAGAAAAATTGGTCTACGGAGGGATTTGGATGGAGGAGGGGCTGTTGATTTGATGATGGAGGAGGGGGGGATTTGGATGAGGGGCGGAGAGGGAGTAGAAGATGGAGGAATCGTTTCCCACGGTCGCAAGAGTTGGGGATTTTTTTGCACGGGACTAGTAGTCCCGTGCAAAATAGGGGATTTTAGCAAAATCGACCTTTTTTTTGCACGGGACTAGTAGTCCCGTGTAAAAAAAGGTCGATTTTGCTAATTATTTTGTTAAACGGTCGATTTTACCTATTATTTTTAAAAAACGATCGTTTTTCCAAATTTTCCCTAATTTTTTTGGGTACATAATCGCCCAAGGTACAGTTTAAAAACCATAGCCTTCAACTTGCCAAACGCTAAAATATGGACAAATTATATACTTAAATTATTGCACCAAGAATATTTACAAGTTATTTACCACATAATCAACACCCTGCAACCAGTAGAATATCCTAAAGATACAAGTTTCCGATGGGAATCTTGTTTGAGACTGTACATTCCACTATAGGTGACAGACGTTTCATAAGAATCTTCAGGATTTCTCATTTATTATGCAGGACTCTTTTTTTCTTTTACTTTTTTTTGAGTGTTTATGTAGGATTTTATATTTTATAGATTTTATATTTCGTTTTATGTCATTTCCAAACGATACAGATGCTTTCATGTCCTTTTGGGAGCTCGGCTCTCCAAGAAGGGATTAGAACTCCAGCGGAGTGATTGGCTTTGGAAAAACAATACACTTTCCATCAAGAGTGTACAGGTTTGGAAGAGAGTAGGTTTAGTTTGTTAAATGTAAATGCAATTTGTTGGTTTGGGTCTAGACCAAACCTGTCAGGCGAGTGCGAGCGGGCGAGGAGCTCCTTCAGGCGAGCTCAGCGAGATCTGCAGGCGAACTCATGGTCGAAGTTCAGGCGAGCTCGACGATGCAGCGCAGGCGAAGAACTCCAAGCGAGCTCGGGGTTGAGGCGAGATGCAGGCGAGCTCGGTCGACATCGAGCGAGCTCGGAGTCGGGTCGACGCAGACGGGGTTGAATCAGGCGAGCTCGAGCGCTCATTTGAGTGCGGGACAGGCTGTTGACAGCCCACCTAGGATTTCCCTATAAAAGGGAAACCCAGAGCCCCCTCTGTTGCTTCTTCTCTCTCTCCTCACGTGTTCTCCCTCTCTAGCGACGGCGGAGCTCCTCTCCCCTCTCGTGATTTTTTTTCCAGCGCTCAGATTTGAGGGGGAAAATAAAAGAGAGAACTTGGAAGAGGGGTATTTGATTTAAAAGAGGGAATTAAATACTGTAGCTACAGTATTAGTATTGCATTTATTGAGAGATCTCAAGTTTGAGATCTGCTCTTGCATTGTAATTTCTTGTTAATTAATAAAAAATTAATTGTGTGGCTCCCGAGGACGTAGGCAAGTTTGTCGAACCTCATTAAATATTGGTATACTTTTCTCTATACTACGTTTCTGTTGTTTTAGGGGTTTAGTGTAGTCTCGGGTATTCCCCAATAACTGGTATCAGAGCCTGAAATGATTTAAAGGAAGTCAGATTTAAGTGGGAGAGATGGCTGCAGATAAAAAAAAGTGAGATTAAAGAAGTTTGATGGAAGAGATTTCGAATTCTGAAAAATACAGATAGAGGATTATCTGTATCAGAAAAATCTATATCAACCACTTTCGGGGAAGAAGCCGGATTCTATGAAGGAAGATGAGTGGAACCTTCTAGACAAACAAACCCTCGAAGTTATCAGATTGACGTTAACTCGTAATGTTGCGTTCAATATTGCGAAGGAGAAGACCACGACGGGTCTTATGATAGCACTCTCAAGTATGTATGAGAAGCCATCAGTCGCGAACAAAGTTCATTTAATGAGGCGGTTATTTTAATCTGAGAATGACGGGAGACGTGTCAATAGCACAACACCACAATGAACTCAACACGGCCACAACCCAATTGGGTTCAGTTGAAATTAAGTTTGATGAGGAAGTTTGAGCGTTGATACTTTTATCTTCCCTATCAGAAAGCTGGAACGCTACAGTCACGGCTGTGAATAGCTCATCGGGAAGCAACAAGTTAAAGTTCGACGACGTTCGTGATCTGGTTTTCAGTGAGGAGATCCAACAGAGAGAGTCGGGTGAAGCTACAACCTCTTCAGTATTGCATACAGAATCAAGAGATAGAAATTTAACCAGAGAAAACGGACGAGGAAAATCAAACCTCAGAGGTAGATCAAAGGACAGGAGGTCCAAATCCAGTAATCCAAGCAACAGCTCGAAGGCTATCGTGTTAGAATTATGAAAAAACCGGGTATTACAAGAATCAGTGCAAGAGTGCACAGAAGGAGGAGGAGGCGAAGACAGAGGTGAATGTCACTTCCACCTCAAGAAGAGACGACGCATTGATATGCTTTTTGGATAGCAAAGAGGAATCTTGGGTGTGAGATTCAGGAACGTCGGTCCATGCTACTTCTCAGAAAGAATTCTTCGAGAAGTATGTTTCCGAAAATCTTAGATATGTATACCTTGGTGATGATCAACCGTGTGCTATTGTGGGCAAATGTGTAGTGAAAATTAAGTTGAACGGGTCAGTATGGGAGCTGAAGAATGTCGGCATATTCCCGAGCTGAGAAAGAACTTAATATCCGTAGATCAGTTGGCTGGCAAAAGAAATACTACGACCTTCCATGGAGATGATTGGAAGATCTCAAAGGACGCAATGACGATTGCCCGAGACAAGAAGACCGGTACCATGTATATGACAGCAGGTGCATGCTGTTTGATCTCAGTTGTAGCAGGCAATGAGACTTTAAAGTTGTGACACCAGAGAATCGGTCATATGAGTGAGAAGGGGATGAACATCATGCACACAAAAGGAAAACTCTCAGTACTGCAGTCAGTGAAGATGGATATGTGTGAAGAATGCATACTTGAAAAACAGAAAAGAATCAGCTTTCAGACAAGTGGCAGACCCCCTAGGAAGGAGAAGCTAAAGCTCGTTCACTCAGATGTTTGGGGGGACCAACCATCACCACGTCCATTGATGAAAAACACTACTTCGTAACTTTTATCGATGATCACTCTCGAAAAGTATGGATCTACTTTCTGAAGCATAAGTCAGAAGTATTTGAGGCTTTCAGGAGATGAAAAACCATGGTCGAGAATGAGACCGGTCTGAGAATAAAGAAACTCAGAACATACAATGGTGGTGAGTATGAAGACACCAGATTCAAGAAGTTCTGCTATGAGCACGGGATCAGAATGGAGAGAACCGTGCCCGACATGCCTCAGCACAATGGTGTAGCTGAGCGGATGAACAGAACGTTGACAGAGAGAGACAAAAGCATTCGGATACAGTCAGGCCTATCGAAGCAGTTCTGGACATAAACAGTCAACACAGCAGCTTACTTGATCAACCGAGGTCCATCGATTCCATTGGAGCATAGAATACCAGAGGAGGTATGATGCGAAAAGAAGGTAAGTTTCTCACATCTTAAAGTTTTCGGTTATGTAGCTTATGTGCATATTAGTGATCAAGACAGGAATAAGCTTGATTCCAAGTCCAAGAAATACACATTCATCGGATATGGTGAAGATGAGTTCAGCTACCGTATTTGGGACAACGAAAATAAGAAGGTATCAGGAGCAGAGATATGATATTCAACGAGAAGGTGATGTACAAGGACATGCACAAGACAGATACTCAGAGAGCGAGTCAACATTTGTAGATGTATATGATGTCCCGAGTAACCTCTCGGAAGAACCCAATGCAGAAGATCCTCAGCCATAAGAGCCTGTTGGACAGAACGGTGCGTAAGAGCCCGACGCACCAGCTCCGATATTGAGAAAATCTTCTCGGCCTTTTGTGCCTAACAGGAGATATGAACTATCTGTTGTTAACAGATGGAGAGGAGCCTAAACGCTAAGATAAAGCTTGTCAGAGTAGAGATACGAGCAAGTGAGAGTTTGCCATGAAAGATAAGATGAAGTCTCTCATCTCAAATCGGACGTGAGAATTAGCTGAGTTGCCCACGAATAAGAAGGCACTCCACAACAAATGAGTGTACCGGGTAAAAGAGGAGCAGGATGGCTCCAGAAGATATAAAGCCCGACTAGTTGTCAAATGATTCCAGCAGAAGGAAAAAATTAACTACACCGATATTTTTACTCCCGTGATAAAGCTCAATACTATCAGGATAGTGATGAGTATTGTAGCTATTGAAGATCTTTATCTCGAGCAGTTGGACGTGAAGACGACGTTTCTTCACGGAGATCTAAAAGAGGAGATAGACGTGCACCAGCCAGAAGATTTCTCAGAAGAAAAGAAAAACCTGGTGTGCAGACTCAAGAAGAGCTTGTATGGTCTGAAACAAGCCCCAAGACAGTGGTACAGAAAGTTCGACGGCTTCATGCACAAGGAAAGTTTTCAGAAGTACAACGTCGACCACTGTTACTACTTCAAAAGATATCAGTCCAGTTATATTATCTTACTGATGTATGTTGATGATATGTTAGTTACAGGTGCAGATATAGAGGATATCAGGAGTTTGAAGCAGCAGCTATCAAAGGAGCTTGACATGAAGAACTTGGGTCCAGCAAAGAAGATCATTGGAATGCAAATCACGAGAGATAAGAAGAGAGGTCTTTTGAAGTTATCTTAGACGGAGTACATCAACCGTGTTTTGTAGAGATTCAATATGAACGACGCCAAGCCAGTGAGCACACCCTTGGCCAGCCATTTCTGCCTATAAAAGGATCAGCCTCCTCAGTCAGATGAAGAGAAAGAGGGTATGACTAAGGTTCCTTACGCCTCAGTCATTAGAAGCTTGATGTACGCAATGGTCTGTATGAGACCAGACATTGGTCATGCAGTAGGAGTGGTCAGTCGGTTTATGTCGAATCCAGGAAAAACTCATTGGGAAACGGTCAAGTGGATTCTGAGGTATCTACAAGACACCATACAGAAGTGTTTGTACTTTGGTAAGGGAGATATGAAAGTACAATGGTACGTAGATGCAGACTTCGAAGGTGAAGTCGATCATCGAAGAAGCACCACCGGCTATGTATTCACTGTCGGAACTACAACTATTAGTTGGATGTCACAGATACAGAAGATTATCACTCTATCCACTACGAAAGCTGAGTATGTAGCAGCGACTGAAGCCAGTAAAGAGATGATATGACTTCAGGGTTTGTTAACAGAGCTGGGATTCAAACAGAAGAAAAATGTTTTGCACGGTAATAGTCAGAGTGCAATTCACTTGGCTAAGAATTCCGTATTTCATTCTAGAACAAAGCACATTGGGCTTCGGTACCACTTTATCAGATCCCTGTTGAAAGATGATATGTTAAAACTAGAGAAGATTTTAGGAAGCAAGAATCCAACATACATGTTAACAAAAATGGTGATCATTCAGAAACTGGAGTTGTGCGTAACTTCAGTGGGCCTTCATGCATAAGGTGATGAAGGCGGAGCCATACAGGAAGAGGTGCTTGTTGAGATAGCCTGCTAACGGTGGTTTGGTTTCTAAGTGGGAGATTGTTAGTTTGGGTGTAGACCAAACCTGTCAGGCTAGCTCAAGCGGGCGAGGAGCTCCTTCAGACGAGCTCAGCGAGATCTGCAGGCGAGCTCGTAGTCGAAGTTCAGGCGAGCTCGACGACGCAGCGCAGGCGAGGAACTCCAAGCGAGCTCGGGGTTGAGGTGAGATGCAGGCAAGCTCGGTCGACATCAAGCGAGCTCGGAGTCGGGTCAACGCAGACCGGGTTGAATCAGACGAGCTCGAGCACTCGTTTGAGTGCGGGACAGGCTGTCGACAGCCCACCTAAGGTTTCCCTATAAAAAGAAAACCCAGAGCCCCCCTCTGTTGCTTCTTCTCTCTCTCCTCACGCATTCTCCCTCTCTAGCGATGGCGGAGCTCCTTCTCTCCCCTCTCGCGATTTTTTTTCAGTGCTCAGATTTGAGGGGGAAAATAAAAGAGAGAACTTGGAAGAGGGGGATTAGATTTAAGAGAGGGAATTAAACACTGTAGCTATAGTGTGAGTACTGCATTTATTAAGAGATCTCAAGTTTGAGATCTGCTTTTGTATTGTAATTTCTTGTTAATTAATAAGAAATTAATTGTGTGGCTCCCGAGGACGTAGGCAAGTTTGTCGAACTTCGTTAAATCTTGGTGTACTTTTCTTTATACTGCGTTTCTGCTGTTTTAGGGGTTTAGCATAGCCCCGGGTATTCCCCAACACAATTTACTGTCTAGCTATGGGATAGGGAAATTAACCATTCGTCCATGCCAATTGAAACAAACTGCAAAAATGTACAAATTAATAAGATCTGCGGGTAGGGAGTAAGCAGTGTGTTTCCACTCCTGTTTCAGAGCTGCAGAGACGATAAATCCAACTTACTCGGTGTCTAGCTATATGGTTGCAGCAGTTTGCAGTGACCTACACATTTTTTGTACTTGGCAACGGAAACATCTTAATGTTAATTGCCAAGGGTTTCTCTTTTCGATTTCAAATGGAATCACACAGACACACACTAAAATAAGAAGATAACTCTTCATCCATGGGCCTGGCCTATGAACAGCAGATATGCCATTGTGAAGGATTTTCTTTCATCATTTAAAAAAAAGAGCTGACTTCAGAAGATGATGTAGGAGGGCAGAGGCCATGACGTCTACTTTCATCTTTACCCAAATTAAATCTAGGAAGATCTCAATATCAGTTGCATCATGTCTTGGGGGTCTTATAATTTCTTATACCAGTGTGTGCTCAAAGACATGTCTCGGTTATTGTAACAGAAGTCTTGAGTGACTCTGTTTCACATTCATTGTATAATGATTAATGACAAATAAAACAGAGATGCTAGATTTAGTTAATTAAAAGGAGACCATAAGGTCCACCATACTAAATGGTTCACAAAGACTTTCAGTTCCCAAACTCGGAGTCTCTTATTATTTACGCACTTCATAGCCAATTTTTTACATGTACTCTTCAAAACACACGTGCCCTATCTCAAAGTAAATGGTATAAAAGCCATAGAAGATGAGATAGTTTTAGAAGTCAAATTTCTGGAAAGGAATAATAATTCACAGGGAGCTATTTATGTAGAAATTTCGCAAGGAATAGGCCAAGTTTATCACTCAACAATCTAAATTAGTATCAAGCTTATGGCAAAGGAAATCAACCATTCTGCTAATTTTGGAGCTTATGGCAAAGGAAACCAACCATTCTGCTAATTTTGGCCCACCTACCTACCTACAAAGGAAATAAACCATTCTGTGAATTTTGGCCAAACCTACCTACTATACACACACACAGACTGACTGACTGACTGAATGACATATTTGTGTATGTGCATGGAGAATGTTCTAGCTTGCCAACTCCTACAACCTACAAAAGATCAATAAAATTTTCCTCTTTGCTCCTACAAAAAAAATGATAAAATATTTATGAAATGAAGTATTTATGAAATAACTACAGAAGAAACAGTTTGGACTGAAACAAGTTACAGTTTGTTTCTGCGTAGGAGTAAAATAATAGTTGCTCAAAGTTCTTAGATGAAATTATACAAAGTTAAGGCACTTCGAATTGAATTTAGCCAAAATGTAATTCTTGCATATTAAGAGTTAGGTTGAAGGTTTGAATCCTTCCTTATTTTGGTAATGCATTTTATCAATGAGGGTTTATAAATAAATATGAGACAGCCAAGAGGGAAGTAGACTTTCATATAATAGTTTTCAAATTGACATCATGCCTGAAATTTTATTAAACTCTTGTAATTTTTTTCCTCTACTGTAAAGGCTATGATATTTGGGGGCACTGACAACACAATAAAGTCTATGGTACACACCCTAGCAGCCCTACTGGATAACACACACGTGTTAGAAAAAGTCCAAGAGGAATTGGATGCGGTGGTTGGCAAGAACCGGCTTGTTGAAGAATCTGACATAAAGAATCTAGTGTACCTTCAGGCTGTCATCAAGGAGGCATTTCGATTGTACCCAGCAGCTACAGTGATTGTGCCACATGTGGCCATAGAAGACTGCCAAATACAGGGGTATCACATCCCAGTAGGAACCCAAGTACTTGTGAACATTTGGAAGCTGCAAAGGGACCCAAATGCATGGTCTGATCCATACAGGTTCAAGCCGGAGAGATTTTTGTCCAGGAGCTCAATCGATGTGAGGGGCCAACATTTTGAGCTAATTCCATTTGGATCAGGAAGGAGGGCATGCCCAGGGATATCATTTTCACTGCAAGTGATGCACCTTACACTTGCTCGTTTGATTCAAGGGTTTAAATTTCAAGTGAGAGGGAATGCCCCCAGTAATCGTTATCTAGCCCCAGATATTCCCAATCTCTCCTCATTAGAAGTCATGCTCGCCCCACGACTTTCTCCAGGTCTCTTTATATGACGATGATCATTGTGTAACATGCTGGTTTGCATGTAACCAAAGAGTATTATGGTACTTCTGTGTATGTAGGCACGCATCTACATTAATCACTTACACTAATAACTATGGATACAATTCTTCTCTTATAAATTCCAATTCTTCTTTCTCATTAGAAGATGTCCCAAGCACACACAAAAGCTTCTTAAAGTAATCCTTATTAGTAGCAAATAGTTTAGACTAATTAAGAGGAGTAATCTCAAATCAGTAGTTGTACTACTTATTTAGCTAATCTTGCTATAGTTTACTTTTAGATTCATGTTACATATTAACATAGATAATAAGTTTGTAGGCAGATGGGGAGAAGTAAAGCTATTTTCTGCACTCAGTTCTGGCTTCAGGGAGAGGATACTGATTATCAATGTGGATAGAATGTACAGTGACATAAGGAATTAGATTGTCTAAGTTTATAAACAAATTCAAAGAAGTAAGGCATTAGTACAACTATTTGTTTTCTTATAAAATTTGGTCTTCAACGTCAAAAGTAAACAACAAATCATCAGTGTAGGTTTCAGGGTCAACAAAGGTATTCTCAAATCTCGATTCTCAATGAAGTTAAATTGGTGGTGATGGAAGATGCATCTCTGAATGGAGTAAGCAATCAAATTTATCCTCCAATCCATTAATGATAAATCTGTTTTAAGGTGCAAATTAAAAGTGGAGACAATAAGGGTTTACCTCTAGTTTTCAGAATGAAAGAAATTTTAAAAGGAAATATATAAAATTCAGATAATTTGGACTTCAAAAGCCCGTTATTTGCATGAAGCCCATTCAATGAATTTATCATTGTACATATGGACACAAGTTCTCAGTCAAAATTTTGAAGGATACCAAATGGGCTTAGCATTATAACAAGCTCCTAAAACTCGAAGACAATTCAACAGATTGGGAATGAACAATTCGACCAACAGTTGACGTGCACGCTAGAAAAAGTTGGTGAATGAAGGGTACTACCTTTTAGATACAAGTAATCAAATATTAATTCCGGCTACGTTGATGAAGGCTGAGGATAACTGATGGGGACAGAAGCTGAGTAGTCTGGTGACGGCTCCAGCACCAGCATCCACCCCGGCTTAGTGGGAATGAGCTAGGTGAACTTGATTGTTAGTGGGCTAAAACCCCTGATCGATATTCTATTTCTTTATGTGAGCACCTCATAAATGGGCTCTGATTATCATCCTTATCATTTGTACCAATTTGAAGAAAAAAAAAAACAAATCAGACAATCTTCACCTTTCATCTATCTTTCGTTTACTTTTCTCTATTTTTTTGGGACCAAAAATAAATATAGGAAATGCATAAGTACATTAATTATCCTAAATTACTAGATTGCATAAGTGAATTTTAATCATATCATTGTGTGTCGTGTGTCCATAGGTTCTAACCGACAAATACAATATAAGTTCAAAAATACAACTTAGTCTGTGAAAACACAGTTAATCATATTAAAAAATAATTATTCCTTCATTTTCTTTATTTTTACTGTTTTCTTTCTAGTATTTATCTATTTTTTATATTCAAACTCAATAAAGACAGGTAAAAATCAAATTTTATCACATGCACATACGTGTGTATGTAAGACAACAACGTTAAATTCTTTAAAATTATATTTTAGATTTAAAAAGACCTCATGCAGAAAAATTATATTTTAGATTTGAAAAGATCTCATACACAAAAATTATAGAGAACTTATTAGCTTTAAGTTTAATAGACACATACTCTGAAGACATAATAGTCAAATAGAGTGTTTTAAGAGTCAATTATGAAATATGTACATTTTAAAATATGTGTTTTTTACCTGAATACAGCCAAATATATCATATTTGTTAGTTGCTGATTTACCCTATTCCTTGAGATTGAATTAATTGGTGGATAAAAAGAAAAACTTTTTTTACTCAAAAATGTAGTTTCCATAACCTCGCATCCATTGTTAAATTTTCAAAAACTTTTTTCCCTTTTCTATGTACCAAAAAATCAAAAGAAAAAGAGCAGAGCAAGTAAATGATGTGGAGCACAATATTGTTTCTGAATAATACATATCATTTCATTAGATACATATCATTTGAGGTAAATGCAGCCATATATAAATGACAAAAACTTAGTGTTTCAGTCCACTTAGGATTCTTTTAGGCATCTTAAACTTTTAACATATTCTGCCTAAAGATCTTAATGGTTCAAAAGTAATCGTTTTACCATTCTTCTTAGTTAAGAGTGAAATCTTGTTTACGTAAATTATACATGCTGGCTACATTCTTTTCTTTTTCTAAAAATAAATATTGTGGTTGTTATTGAACCATAGATCTCTCATTGCCCAATCATGTTTTGATATTGCTGAATTAGTTCTTGCTAATGCTATATATATATGTATAACCTACTCAAATCCTTTTAGTCAACAACAAATGGTAAAAACAAAGTTTCCCAAACCCTTGAACAGCCGCACCTTTCATGAAAGTATTTCATGAAGTAGTTTTTTGTAGAAAAACTTTAACGAACTGAAAAGATTTATAGGAAAGAACGTAGGACTCAGTAAAAGCATCTGCCCATATCCATCCTTTCTCTGAAATCTCTTACTCCGCTATCAATGATGACTAAATCTGAGAAATATTAAGGTCAAAGGAAACTACGTGTCACGTACGTAATTATTCGAATTTAACACATTCTAACAACTAATCAAGCCACTAACTATACTGAAAAATTATCCATGATCATAAGGTAAATTATACACCCCTTAACTAAGTCAACTAACTCACTTAATTTCTATGAGAAAGACAAAGAATCCTCATCAATCACATAAATTATTCATGCTCCTTAACTAAATCAACCTTATTTGTATGGTGCTGCAGTCTTGTACAACAGTCAGAGGTCTGGGGTTTAAAACCTGCATCTAAGTTTTACCCCTGGCATGGCTGCTAACGAGTTACATGTTGCTTTGAAGACGCATATAGGCCTGCTTGTGAAGCTGGTTGATATGCGTTATGTTAAAATGGTCCAACGACTGGATCTATCCGAACAAATACTCCCAATATTTGTGAACTTCTCCATTTGGAAACTTACAAAACTAAGCTTTCATAAACAGTTTAATAAAAGTGAATTGCCCAAAAGCAGGAATAGATACGCAAGATTAGGTGTCAAAATATAAATTACCTTAAATTGGGTGAGATCCCAGAAGCAACCAGATATGTATGATACAAGGCCCATGTTAGCTGGGTTATCGAAGCATTCACAAATTAAAATTGGTGAATTATCAGTATTTTTCATGATGCAAGCAGGAAA